AGAGTCTTCCACGCCGTGTGAATCTTCAACTCCAGAGTCGTCTACACCCTGTGAATCTTCGACACCTGAGTCTTCCACACCCTATGAATCTTCGACTCCACCTTCCCCAACTACACAGCATTCGACGCCATATGAATCATCTATTCCACCTTCACCAATTCCAGAGTCTTCGCTGAAAATTCTGACCACTCCGTTACCTGTATCGATTACATCGATACAAATTACAACTTCCACAGTAAGTACCTCGACTGAAACAGGAACTGCGACGAGCACCTTGACAATATGTGCCAAAGGTGGCCACTGTGTAACAGTAACTACAACTTATTGCCCCTCTGAACTGGAAACGGCAATAGGTTCTCCTTCAGGACCAGGATCGACAGAAACCATTAAAAAGCTTACTCCGCTGGGAACTTATGAATCAGCTAATACAGAAGTCAGTCCTCTGATTGAAACCACATCTACTCGCGGCTCCCCAGAAATTGCAGCGGAGTCGACTAAGCTAACTTCAGGGACCCCACCATTGACGACTGGTTCCTCAATTGTAACAGAGGCAGGTTCTAGCTCGACATCTTCATCAGTGGCTTCCTTTGAGACAATTCCTGCTTCAGGCTCCTCTTCTGTCTCTTCAGAATCAGCCACTGTTAGTACCTTCGAAGGTTCTGCAAACTTTTTGTCTTCCAAAAAATCAATTTTGTCGGTAATAGCTGCTACCTTTGCGACCTTCTTTATCTGATTAAATATCGAGAAGGTATTTTCACTTTCGATTTCAATTTCAATTTCCATTTCTCCACGAACTATTCCAAAGCTTTTCGTTTTAAAAAAGTTATATTAAAAATAACTACTTTTTGGGTGGACATTCATTTACAATTCTTCTAATATCTTTTCTACTTATATTTTCACATTAAAATAATACAATCAGCCATATATTTTCGAAGAATATGATATCAACTTCTGTTATCCTCTCCAGAATGAGCACATACCTTTTAATTTCTTGCTGTAATGCTATGAAAGCTAATCTTCATTAGTCTTTCTGATATATTAGTTTATGTTTGTGTAATAAACATATAAGCCAGCGGAATACAATGCTGCAAATTTAAGATGGTATCTTTTCTAGTATGGCTTAACAAAAAAAAGACAAGATATAAGCTTCTTTATAGCGCAATAATCTGAAATTGAGTTCACAGTTACTCCATTTTAAATTTATGCTTGGTCCTCGGAATATAGATATCATTGAAAATATTTTCGTGACTTTTTATACATCGAAAACGCATTCATAGTCAAATGAGAGCGAACTACAGAGACAAACCACGAGGGCATGTAGTAGTAAGCTTCTTGAGGCTGTGGGTTGCCATCCAAGATATTTATTTGTTTCTCATTTTGCTATATATTGTTACAACTATCTTGATTATCATTTGCGTTTATTTGCAGAGGGACATAATAATGCGAACAGGAAAAATCGAGCATTGAAAGAATTTATTACACTGAAGGAACCCAAAGTCGCTTTATATTTATAATAGAAAGTGAAATGCTTATAGCGCAAGTGAGAGGATGCTGCCTTTTGAAGAATTTATTACTTCATCGACCCCCTACTTGTTTCGTCAGGTTCAAGTCGAACCTACCAGATGTGACGAAAAACAGAAACCTTCCTTCTAAAGAAGAGTGGGAGCATTTGAGACAACATATTCCTGGCGAATCAACACAAGATAACGAACTCAGGAGCCGCATTCCAAAGTTCCCTTTAGCAAAGGAGAATGTTCCAACATTGCTCCCTAGACCTGGAGTACCTCAAGTCAGCTCCAAACTTCCATTCAGACAGGTAATAGAAATATTGAAGAATAAAAAGAAACCTGAATTAATTTACGAAGCAGAACCCCATAGATTATACTTTTTAGCATGCTTTTGTTGTGCTATTGTATTTACTGTGTATGGGCTTGTATTGCTAGAGTACGCTTACTTCCAGGCAAATAAAGATTATGAAGAGAATTCTGAGGAATTGGAACTTACCTTACGTAAGAGGGAATGGGTGATGTCACTCCTTAAAAATGGGTCACTTGGAGCAATAATGCTTACGGCTGCGTATTTTGTATCTAAATTTCCAACACGGTTGATAAGAAGGATGTGGTATTTACCAGGAAAGGAGGAATATGTCAAATTTACATCGTACCCATTGTTCCCGGGAAGACCAACGCCTGTTTATACGGTTCAACTCAAAAATCTAGCCAGGAAGCATAAGGGACGAGTGTGGACTGGTAAGGGATTTTACGGGACTTCTGATAGTTCTTTGTTTTTTTTTGTCTTGAAGGAATCAAGCCCGAATAAGACATGGATAGTTGACAGAAAAGGATTCTTTTGGTCTGATGGTAGAGTATTTGACTTTCTCTTTGGAAAAGAAACTATTGCAGAAGCTGAAGCCGGAATTCCCTATGACGAACAAATAGGTATTGTGAATAGACAAGTTCAAAAGAAGAAAAAGGAGCTTAGAAAAAAACATGGTTTTTTCTATAAATGGAAGCTTCTGAAAAATGACATGCAAAATGATGTGCAAAAAGTCGGATCCTATATAAGTTCTCTCTCAGGGAACAAAAGGTTGCCTAAGGGCAAGGATGAGAAATAAATACAGAAGTAAAACTTGTAAATAGTAATTGCAATTGTGAGTTGCAGTCTCAACAACTAAAGAATACATGCTGCTACTCTCGAGACCTATAATTAGTCTTTCTTACCTTAGCTTGTCTCATTTCATATGTGTCAAGTAACTTACAAGCTAGTATTTTCGAAAGTAGTGTTTCGCATTGTATCTCCGCGATAGGAAATTCATATAGTTGCCGTAAGGCTCCAACTCAGTTCCATATTGTCATTACCCTGTCGCAGATTATGTAATAAGTAGGCGATAATTTTTACAACACAAAAATTGTTGCCACCTATCTCAGTTCGAACCCCCTCCCTATCCAAAAACCGCAAGCACTTTTACGAAGTACTGTTAGGACATACATTAAGGATTCTTTTTAAGTCAGAAAGCCCTCTGTTGATACATATATTCACAGTAGAGCTCATACAGACTCTCTGGCATTGTCACAGGTTTCTTTATTCATAGAGAGAACCAGTTGTATATTAGTTGGTAGCCTTAGTTGGCATTTATCAGACCAAAGTTAAAGACACTCGTAAGGCTGTATCACCCTAGTTAAATTACTAAGTGAAAGACAATAAGAGTGTTTACAATAAAAGAGGTAAAGTCTTATTCATTGAACTGTGTATAGTCAAACTTAGAAAGTACGACTGTTATGGCACTAAGTGAAGTGAAGGTCCTGAAGAGGAAGATTAACGAATTGGAGGACATAACAAATAATGATATATATCGTACCAAGAAGATGAAAATGAAGGAAATGTACTATGATGGTAAACAGCCTCAGCAACAGAGGTCACCGTCGCCGTCAGAAATTTCGTCCTCTAGTCCTCCTAAATCCCGTTCAAAGTCAGTATCGTTTGATTTATCTAACAACACTCAATATGAAAATTCGCCTCTTTTGACACCGAAGGAAGAGGATGATTTCGATGGTGACATATTGAATAATGAGGAAAGCAGTATCGAACTGGTGGAGAATGAAAAAGCTATAGATGTTGCCAAGAATCCCGACTATGTTGCTCTATCATCGACACTTCGTCTTTTGAAGAATAGCAAGCACAATATACTTGAGGATATAAGCAAATTATCGGATCTCTTGAAAGAGCATTCCCAAAAATCTAGCAAAGATGAGTTAGTTGATTTTGTTTTTAAATTAATGAGTAATGACTTGAATTTACCTAAACCCCACAAAATCATAAAGTCGCCCCTAATCGAGTGGACAAAATATCATGGTGGTTTAGTAAACGTAAATAGGGGCTTGGTCCAGGCGCTGGAGATTGATGAGTCCCTTTTCAAAACTTTGAACGTATTTTGTTCAAAAACATGAAAGAATTGATTCTTTGTGTCAAGCAAGTACGATATACGAAATGTATCTAAGAAAGATTATATGAAAAAGTAATAAAAAAATCGTAAAGCACTAAAATATCAAAAATATAGGAGAACGAGACTTTTACACCAGTCTTTAATCACTATTTATTCCTCGTTGTCAATAGGAGAGGGAAAGAGAAAGTGATGATGTTGGGTCCACTGTATTAACTGTACTCCTTTTTAAGCCTTATTCTTTTTATGAGCTGCTTTCAGTTGTTATGTCTTTTATTCAGACTTACCACGAGCAGGCTTGTGCTTGGGTATAGCTCGCTTACCAGTTAAGTTTATAGATTAACGAAATTCTAAAATAAATTTAAAGTGACGAAAAAGAACATTACTACGTAATTTGTAAATATAAAGTGACTTAAAAAATATCATAAACTATAAAACACTGGATTTCTTGTTTGCATCATTTCCGGATTCTTCATCTTCACTGTCTGTTACAAGAAATGCATCAGAATTCACTGGAGTATCAGCACTCAATGGCTGCCATTTCTTTTCATTAGAAGGCTGATTTGGTAATGGTTTATCAGAATCTCCGGGGGTTGCCCTACCACGGCTCGGTAAAGTTGGAGGTTCATCATCCGTGTCTTTATTAGTTAAGCTTATCTTGTTATGAAAGTCATTCGAAATAATTTCAGGATCGTCATCAAACCGCTCCGATCTCCCTTTACTGGTGTTAAATGATGAACCGCCCAAGGCACCAAATAATTTCGGATTCTGATTATTCTGAGGCTGTTGAGAACCATTTTCTTGAAACTTTTTGGCTATGCCACTGACCCACCCGTTTAAGGTGGTTCGAGCCTCTTCAATACCTTGAGTAAATGATTCTTTGATCTGCTCCATTTCATCAGGGCTATCATAATCACCTTCTTCCGTAGGTCTAGCACGGTTATGCAGGTTTCTTCTTTTTTCCTGTTGGCGTCTACGCCTCCTCCTTTCTTCTTCTTCAAATTCCTTTTGCAATTTCCTTGCCAATAATTCATCATCAGTGATTGATGGATTTCGAGTCTTTTCTTTAGTTGTTGCCGTCAGGGATGTGAAGGAGGTACTTGTTGGGAGTTCAACACCCACGGAAGGGTCTGAGAGGTATAATAAGCCATTGAAGGCAGGATCAACATTACCCTGAGAAGCAATCAACATAGCTGTGATATATTTCTCCTCAATTGCAGGGAATGCCTCTTTTAAATCGTTAGTTACTCTTGTCAATGGAGAAACTGGTCTAGGTGGTCTTTGAGGCGGTGCCCCTTCGTCTTCCTCGTCTTCATTGGTTTTTTCTGCTTTCGAATCCGAGGATAAAATATCTTTAGTTTCATGTTTGCTATCTAACGTGCTTCTTTCAATTTCATGTTCGGGAGCATCCTTGGTTTCTGCTGACTCCTTTATAGGTTCCTTATCCTCCCCTGTCTTTGACACTTCCTCTTCTTTTTTACTATCAATATCTATCGATTCAATTGGTTCATTTTTGACAACCGTCAATCCTTCAGGTTTTTGACTTTGCTGTGCCATCTTGCAATAGAGCTTCAATGATTTTAAAGAAATTAAGGTATTAATTAAACTGAGTTGTAAGTTTACACAATTAATTCTCTATATGTGCACCAACCAAAAATGGTTGCTTTACAAGAAGATTTTCAATCAGACAACTTAGGCATTACTTCTTTTTCTTTAGATAGTAATAAAATATTTGCTCCGAACATTTCTAGAGCTTTTTATCATTCGCTACTATTGATTTAAAGTGTGGACAGCGGAGATAAAATAAACTGCAACTACTGTTTTTATCATGCTAATTTCAGCTTGAATAATATTAACCGTAGTTCGACATTTGAAATATGTTGTAGCTAAATAATGGCAGCGAAGAGTTACAAATATATGTAATCTATTCGTATGCTTTCGTAATTCGAACTGTGAAAATTGCTCGTCGTATTAGTGTGACCAAGAGATTGAAAGATAGAAGCATACTTTGAGTTCAGCCCTGAACAAGAAGAGTGATATTGAGACTTTGCCTGGTCTACATATTATCACGATGACGTGATCGACATTAGTAATTATACCGTATTTTATTAATGACTATGTATTGTTGATCTGCAGTTCTACCATAAGCGTAGTTGTCGTATCATGTCTAAACTTCACATTAGTTAGATACTTCAAATAGTAAAAAATCCCAGTAGATGATGAAAATCTCATTTATTTTTCTCTATGAAACACATTTAATTCAACTCTGCCTTTCTTTTTTCTTTGGCCTCTTTCAATTCCGTTTGTCTTCTTATTAAATCCAAATTTTCACACTCCTCCCAAGAGTGCTTATCGTGCTTGCAATCTACAGATGAGTTAGCCGATTGCCTAATCAAACATGTTTGGTAGAGGGCAAAGTAAGCAGCACATCTATCTCTCCAACGCAATGGAACTTTATATTTTTGTAAATCTTCTTCGCTGACTACTGCGAGTTAGTATTATTTATCTTCAAAATGTCGACAGCGATTATTTCGAAGTCGCAGTACTTACGAAGCGGTGGAAATTCTGTCACAGTCATGATTGACTTAGTTGGATCAATTAAAAGTGAATTAATACAATCTCAAAGTAGATAATCTAATTTTTATCATTAGAAAATAAGTGTGTCGAAGAACCAATAGAATCCATTGCAAACATTATAATTATTACATGCAGGATCTCGATTTGTAAAGACTGCCTTCAAGATGAAAAGCATTACGATCAAGAGAGACTTTAACGTACTTGGTAGACCTTCATTAAGCAGAGTTGTTAGTCTTTTGAAAGTATTTTTTTTTTTAAAAAAAGCCTTTGTTTTGAACGTCTTCTTTTTGTAGGTTCTTTTTTTAATGTCTTCTGCCTCTCTGATCTAGCTACATGTATATGTGACTTCGATTCCCTGAGCATCAAGCCGATCCAATTTTAATGCACGTCTTATCCATTAAACAATATTCTACTTATCAAAATATTCATGAGAGTTGATTATGACGAAAGCGATATTCTTGAACTTCAATAATATTGCATTCTTCAGCACTTCTTTCTCCCCTGCTAAAGCAGATTGTCTTTTAAACTAGTTTTGGACTGTATTATTTTATATGTGAGCACTTTACTTATGAGCATCTAGCCTTTGTTTCAAAAATATATATTGGCACTTGTAAAACTCATCCTTCGTCTTTGAACAGAAAGAAGTACCTTTATCAAGGCATTGATAATAATTAATTAAATGTGCAGCACAGCGGTCTCTATGGACAAATGGAACGTTATTGTCATCGAGTTCTTGCTGGGAAGCTAAAAAGAAGATGTTAGTAACTTGAGTAGATTTTAATGTATGACTTCATTAAGTTCAACTCGTACTGAAAGACAGTATTGAGTATCTTAACTTACGAATAGATGGAAACTCATATGCTGTTGACTCTGTCATCTCAAAATTCTTATCAGGAAATGATCTTCTAGGTAGTTCAACTCAGGCCCAATAATTTATGTCACCTGCTAATAGTATTAAGAGAAATGCTCAAGAAAGTTTGATATTACCTCAAAATTGTGCTTATGTAATTGGGTGAAAAAATTAGCGCAGCTGTCAGTTGAACCTGCGAACGGAAAAAAAGGAAGCAGATCTGACTACCCTTGCTAGTCAATAACAAAATATCGTTACTGCACTGTCATCGTATATCTATGGTAACTTCGTCCGCCCATCCTTCCTCTTTAAAAGCTTCTAGAGTGTAGGGAGCGAGTTCCGATGATCGCAGTGTCTGATTTTAATGAGTTGCGACTGAAGTTTTATGTATTTAAGGACCAGAAGGTACTACTGAAGTAAAAGAAATTAAGCATCTTGGCTCCCAAACTTGGATCCATCCATACAACGCAAGTCCACAAGGAGGTGCCTGACAAGGATGCATCCTAGAGGGATTGGAGTATTGGGATAGATTCATACACAATCGCAGACAACAATTTACTTATCGCAGTCTTTATCACCACTTGATGGCTTATGAAGCCAAATATAGTGGGAGGGAGGAACTACTAGAATTGGCCAGTGTGGAGAGTAACGGTATTCTGGGTATTGCCCGTATAGGAGTCAAAACTGCGACACTTTTATTCCAAGATAAGAGATAGAATCTGGTGACAGATGGTGTCAAGGATGGTGTCATCCGACATAAGCGTTTACGTATAGTATGCCAGATTAGATCCAGCGGAGGATGCAAGCTTAGGGCGGAGTCAAAAAAAAAAAATAGCGAAGAATAAAAGTCTTGACTTGTGTGTCGGGGACACATGTGCTATTCTGCTCTCCAACTTTTGTCATTACGGCCACAGATATGGCAAAGTGTTTCATTGCATCCTAGCAAAATTCAACCAGGAGAAAGGCGCTGCCTTACAACAATCTCGCCTACAGATCTGATCTCACTAGAACAAAATGCCTCGGTATAAGCATTATTATATAATCGCTATAAAAGTTTAGACTTTTTGTTTCTTATTAAATTCACGTCGATCAACATACAAAGGTGTGCTCGTAAACGTAGATCACAGCTTTCAAGAAGCGCAATTCAATCATAGCCCTATAGAATGCCTATTACGGAAGCCAAAGGTAATTTAGCTCCGCGAGCGCAGCTGCTCAGTCGTCCTCTTCTAAACTTGCGGAACTGGTTTCTGCGAACGACCTCTTTCATGAAACACGGCATTGGTTTTTGCTAAATGCCCTCAACAGCCGAACTTGTTCGGCCTTGTTACCCAAAAAGCTTATAAACACGTAATATGCAGAACGATTCGCCCCTCACGATGAAGATTCTATTGCGTGGCGCTGGACCGACTATGAGACCACCAAGTTTGATGGGCCAAGCTCCTTCTAAAATTGGCGATCGACCGTAATTCTCTGGTCATGGATCTAGATTGTAAGCTTTCGAAATTTTCTATGAAATTGAATGGAAATATTCACACCACACTTTGAGTTGTTTTCCATTTCTTTGTTGGCTTAGTGTTATTGAAGCTTGTCATGTGCGCCCAATTGTTTCAGCAGACAAGAGATCATGGGGCGCATGGTGTGCAAAAGAGGTATCATGAAATATAGAGCGCATTTCAAAATATCAATCAAACTTAATCAGTGAGCAAAAATAAAGCAGGCCAGTTGACACTGAGTGGGGGTCCTCGCATCCTTTGCTATAACCTTAATTTGTTCGCCTTACGTGACTCGCTTCAGAGTCCTTTCCTGGGAGCGTAGGGGTCCTGCAAGTTCAATGCAGCACTACGTTTGTAACCAACCGTCATTCCTGAACATTAGATTAACTTACGTAGTTGCACACAATAAGAAAAAGCGCAAATTCGACCAGTGCTATATTTATGTATAATATATATATGTATATATATATATATATGTAACATCTATGTAAGTTAATGTAATACGATTATGCTGATGTTAAGAAATAAATACATTGGGATTCAAGGTAAGAGAACGTAGTAAGAACTCAAAGTCACGTAGTTGAAATCAGCTAGTGGAAGATACTGTGTGATCAAGAAGGTGAAGATTATCTCGCCCATAACATCTGGTTGTCATTACGGGAAACGTCAAGTATAAAACGCAATGGGAGAGTTGGGAAATCTGATCAGCAGAATCAAACTACCTTCCATTAATGAGTTGACTTCAAATACACTGCCAATGTCACCAATAGTGAAGGACGAGAAGGTCTCGGTGAAGAGCGCTGGCTCAGATAAGGCCAAATACTTAGAACCGTCACCAGGTCTCAATTCAAACTATGTTTTGAGTAATTCAGCATCTATCCTGGGCCAGAATTTGTCTCCAAATATAGGATATTACGACTATGTTTCACCCAGCAATTCGATGCTGCAATCAAAACCAAAACCAAACCTTCGCCCACTTCCATTTCAATCTCAACATTATCAGCAACAGCTACAGCACCCTCATCATCAGCAACATCCTCATAATCAACATCAACATCAACATCATTCTAGCCCAGTCAATTCGCATTACGAATACTACACTTACAGACAGTCTCCTCAGTTGTCACCTCCAGTACAACCTTTGGTTTATACCTCTCAAAATGCAGGCTTTCATCCAACATATTACAAGGTTGGTCAACCGATGATGACCATACCTGGTGGCTTCTCAGGTAGTGAGTATGCTGCGCCAGAGATAATCAACAATAGAGTAAATAAATGTCATAGATGTGGAACAACAGAAACACCAGAGTGGCGACGGGGACCCAATGGTGTCAGGACTTTATGCAACGCTTGTGGTCTATTTCATGCTAAACTAGTCAAGAAAAAGGGCGCAACTGTGGCTGCTCGTGAAGTATTGAATAGCAGAGTGTGTAAAGGAAAGAACGGACGAAGAATATCTGTTAAAAAGAACATTACGGAGGAAATTAAAATGCCAAACAATAAAGCATCACCTATACATGCTATCGTCTCTCGACTGCCTCCAGAAGTTCCAATACTGGGAGGACTTCATTTACCTCCTCCAATCATGAGCGTAAAGTATCAGCAACATGCATCAACCCCTTAGATTCAACCATAAAATCCTATATAGGGAAAAAAAACTATTTTAATTAGGTCATGCTAAGATTTAAGCTATCAATACTTTCAATTTAATAATATTAATTTGACAATACTACTAATTCTTAATAAGATCTCCCCTTTGACTAACGGCAGTCAATTGTATGAGCTAGATAAATTTGCTTAAGCATTCTTAATTACGACTTCTTATCTATTAATCTGAACCCAACGTGGGTGGCATTTAGATGATAGGAACACGACAACGTTATCGTGGTCTCTATTGGTACTTTCTCTTACTTCGTATTATTCTAGGAATTACGTTTATATTACCCCTCATAGCCAGGCAGCTCTAGAGCTTGACAATTCCGCTTAAAGCCAAGCGATAAGCACTGCATAACAGGCTTATTTTATTATGGATTAGGATTTTGCGACAGAAGAAATATTTGAAATTCGCAACTTTAGCACGCTTCTCCCACCATATTCACACTATTGAATTACAGCGATTCTTGATGTGGTTTTTGCGAAATGGTTGAATTTATATTGTGATACTTCACCGTTCAGAGTTTGTAAATCAAATCCTTACTGTTTCCACCGTGAGATCTCGCTAGGGATCTCGTTAAAGATGCCCTACATCGACCTCTATGTTATCGCTGTTTGACATATGCCAGTAAAATGGCCGCATATTCGTGATGCGGACATTCCCTGCATGACGTCAGGCCGTCGAGTGGGGGGGTGGGGGCACCAATGTGTGATATTCTCAGAAAGAAGAGAAATCTAGACTGTGTCTGTGATCTCGTGATCATTCAGGTGACGACATTGTGACTTCAGACATTACAAGTACATATGTATTTATGTCGTCTATTTTGACAGTATATAGAGAAAGCCTCGAAAAGAATCATTAGATGATTCTATTTTGAGCTAAGGCATATTTCACTGACTCTAGAACGTTATCAAAAACACCGCCGGTTGGCTTGGCCACGATTGAATCCCAGTCATCATCCTTGAACACTCCTGTACGCACTAAAAGCGACTCCCAGCCATGATCGTTCGCACCTTTAATATCCGAAGCTGGATTATCGCCAACCATGTAGATTTTACTAAAGGGTGAGTCAGCAGGGGCCTTGTTGAGTTCAGGTAACGTCTGATTTGTATCATGTATTCTGTTTTCCATAAGCTTCTTCCTCCAGTCAATGAGGACAAAATGAGCAAAGTCATATTGAATCTTGAATGGCTTGCCCATGATAATAGAATGCAAATTCTCATGGGAGTCTAGACCATTAATTTCTCTGTACAATTGCTCAATTATGATTCTAAAGGCCCCTTGGCCAAAACGGGGCAATGGATAATCACTGGCAAAAACGAAATCATTGTTACTGAATATAATTGGTATCGCTGGGTCCTCTCTGTTCTTTAATTCCTTTGTGTTTCTTTTCGTCCCAATCTTACCATTCTGAGAGTTTAGCATATCTGAGACAATCTGTATATCAGTACCCATGTCCCTTGGATCATTGAAGACAAGAACGGCATCAATAGGCTTATCTAAATGAGACTTCGAGGGTTCCAATGCGTAATTTATTAACTCTTCTTCATTGAATCTGTGATGTGGTGACACTCCAGGGAAGGCTCTAACGATGTCTACTGGCATTATAACATCCTGAAATCCATAACCTAAAGCACAATGCCTAGCTTTGTCCTGTGGACCACCAACAACCATAACCCTGTTGTAGCCATTTTCGTGGGCTAATGCTTTCATAGGCGTATGACTTTGAACCAATTGTAGTGGAGATATCAGGAACCCAATTTTTGAGCTCAAGAAGTCAGTTCTAATCTTCTCGCTGTATCCACCTCCATTTGTCATAAGGATGAACGGCACTTTATGTTTGTTAAGTAGTTCCAAGGCTTCTTTTGCTTTAGGTAGAGGATGAGAGCCCCGGACTAAAACACCATCAATATCAAATACAAATGCTATATCAGAGCTCAACCTTCTCGAAAAAGAGAGCGCAAACTTCTGAAATGGCGTTTTCGCCAACCGTCTTGTTAAAAATTGCATCAAGGCCTGATAAATCGATTTCAGTAGAAATACAAGCAAATCAAAGAAAAATAAAAACGGCGCGATAGCGTCGTATCTCATGTTTTTTGATTAAAATGAGCCACTGATATCGTCCTTCTATTAAAATGTACACTTTATATGGTACAAAATCGATAAATATATACATATACATGCTTCATGACTCCTCTATCTTCTTAGAGTTTATGTAACCTGAGATGGGTCCCAATTCCAGTATGGAACCGCATCCTTCTTCGACCACCCACTCTTCACCATTTTTTAAAGGTGCACTTAGTATATCGCAAACATAGCCTGTAACTAATAACCCAGGGGGTCTCGATCCACATGCTTCCATGGCTCTACCGACGTTCAGTAACTTACACCTTATCACTCTTTGATCGGGGCATGATGCTCGTTCAACTATAGCAGCTGGTAACTCTGGATCCCACTTCTTTTCTTCGATGAGTTTTGAGACTAGACTATCTACTCTATGAAGTGCCATTAAAAATATTGTAGTTCTCGATTTGACGAATTCTGGAAGATTTGGTAAAGCACCTCTTCTACCGGTGCCAGTGCAAATCAAAACCTGATCTGCAACGTCTCTATGAGTAGCCGGAGCATTCGCTAATACAGGGGCAGCAAGTGCAGAGGTAATTCCTGGTATCACAGTTGGTTTATATCCATGTTCAACGAAGAATTTAAATTCTTCACCTCCCCTGCCAAAGATATAGGGGTCGCCCTGTTTTAATCTAACAACTTTATTTCCATCCTCTAAACTCTTTAAGCCCAAAGTTAAAAGTTCCTCTTGTGCCTTTTCTGCATTTCCTGGGAACTTCCTAGCAATAAATACTTTTGTTGCTTTAGGAATCAAATCAAGGACTTGCTGAGGAACTAATTTATCTGCTAAAATTAAATCTGCTGTATGTATCGCCTGAACTGCACCCAAAGTGAGAAGAGATACCGATCCTGGGCCAGAACCTACCAATGAAATGGACCCTTTCAGCCTCGATTTCATTTTCAGTAGGGTATAATTATCGATAACCCGGCCCTCTTTGTAGGCAGAAGTTAAGTTCTCCATGGAAAGATTCGCTAAAACATTCAAAGGATAATATTCCACAATCTGAGATAACCATCTACTTCTTTGCAATTTCTTTTGTTCCTTCGACATATTGAATTCATCGACTAATGAATTGAGATTAGCTGTAGTTACAGCATCATCATCGTTCTCTCCAACTGCATCAATAGCTTCTTGAAATCTTTTCAAATCTGAAAAGTCTTCTTCTATAATTTTACGTCTTAGATCGCCAACTTTATTACAAATTTCTCCAATATTCGGAGGTAAGCTGTTAGCTAGTTCTCGTCTTAACCTCGATGCTAGTTTGCAGCCCTTTCCTGAAGTTGACACACCCAACTTAAAATCTCCTGAAGTATAAGTAGATAACAAGGAGAAAGTACAAAGGTCAGGTGAGTCTGAAGTATTTATAGGAATTCTCAATCTTTTACATTCCTTGTATATTTTCGCCTTCTGAGTGTCATCGCTCACCGGTAATGTGACAAATACTCTATCAACAACGTTATCTACTTCCGCCCTACCTAAGGAAACTAAGTCGTTTAGCTCAAATTGCTTTTGCAATACTTTAAGTTTACCTTCCTCTAACTTATCTCTAATAGATTGTGGATATAAGCTCAGATCTTTTTCAGATATAAGAATAGGTTTAGCTCCCGCCTCTATTATAGCACTTATCCTTAGTGCAGCAACATTAGAGACACCTATGATTAAGTTAACTTCCCCTTCACAATAAAGTGAAGCCAACAAGCTATTAGACATTATGTTACTAAACACCTCTTGAACTTCAAAGTTTTTATCGTATTGAATTTTGCAATATATATGTCTTCATCATTACCCAATATCACGTGTGATGGTGTTGATGTGCAGGATAATTTAAATTTTTTTTGTATAGCTGGGGCCGTTAAGATCTGTCCACGGAAAGAAACAGATATCAAACATGGGTCAAAAGAGAGAGTTGGGCCTTGGAAAGGCATCTAAGCTGAAAAAGAGAAAGTCTGAACAAACCAAAGAACCTAGTACCGAAAATGAGCTCCAACAGAGTAATGAACTAACAATAGAGTTGAACGAAGAGATCGATGCGGACGATGAGCTTGCTCAATTGAAAGCACTTTGGAAGACATATGCGACATCTGAAGAAAAGAATGAGTTAGTTTTAAATGGAATAGTTCATGAATGCGATCGTTTACTTAGAAACTCTGATTCTTCGGAGGAATCGAGGCAAAAATTACCTGATTTCTTCCATTCTATATATGCATTGGCATTATCTGCATTAGCAGCTTTTCAGGAGAACCCCAAGAAAGCGAAAAGCTTTTTCACTGCTTCCCTTGAGAGGATTGAGCTCGGAATTTCTACGTTTCCTGATTCTGTAAACTTACTTGTCACAAAGAGTCGGATTTTACTAAGCCAGTTGTTATTACAGTACATTGGGTCATTAGATGAAGCTTCCGTTATATCTTCAGAGAATCCAGATATCAGCAAACTATTGGATGAAGCATTACAAGTTTATGAGGAAGGAGAACGAAAGGCGGATTCTCAAAGTCTCTTCGAAGCGTTCAATGAAGAAAACTTTGAAACACTTCAAATGTTCGATGATCTACTTGAACACATTGATAACTTTGGAAAAAAGAAGAATGAAGAGGATTCCAGTGATGAAGAAGCCAGTGACGATGAAGAAGAAGGAGAAGAAATAGAAGTGGAAGAAGACGAGAACGTGTTGTCAAAAGAGCATCCTCTTTATGAAATCAGAACTACTGATAAATATAATCAATGGTGGAGAGATCATACAATTAAGTTTTTAAATAATGTTAGAACCCAAATCGATAAAGATGAGCATCATTTGAGCCCTTTGAGTCGTCAAATATCTAAATTACTAGGACAATCGTTTTTACAGGAGGCTGAAGTGCCGTCAAATGTGTTTACATCATTAACCTATGATGAAAATTTACAAGGTACCGAGGAGCTTGCAGGCTTGACGAAAGAGCAGGCTCAAGAATATGCGAAAGATTTGTTAAAAAAGGGTTTAGAATACTTAGAAGCGGCAGAGCATAAGGATGAGCCTGAATCATGGGTTATGATTGCAGAAGCAAAAATCTCACTAGCTAACTTATATGAACTAGATAGTGAAGATCAGGAGCAGTTATATGCTGAGGCGGAGAAAATCCTTACTAGGGCAAACCGAGTTACGCACGGGAAGTTTCAGAGCATTTTAGATAATTTACTCGAGAGCTAAAATATTAAGAATTTATTTCATTAGTTGATTACTTTCAGGGACATATGAATCAGGGCATCAGGAAAAAAAAAGGGTATATAACGTCTATCACACGATTATACTTTATATCTAATAGTAGTGTAAAATAAAGTGCAAGTCTAGCATGAGGAACCGTCAAACAACCAACCACATTAAATAACAACCATCTAAGAAAGAGGTAACAATGTATTAAGAACAAAAAAACATAATGTCGCATTGTTCATCATTCATACTTTATTCGTAATGGTTCTTTCACTTTGTAATTTCATTGCATTCTTTTCATGGGCATTATCCTTGCAATACTGCAAGCCCTGACAGAGGTGGTCTTCTAACAATCTGTGCTTTGCACAGAACTTCCCCTGACAGTGACTACAGCTACCGACCATTCTTAAAGGAGCAGAATTACAAGATTTGAACGAGCACCTGTTCTTCTTACTCTTCACCTTTTTAGAAGTCGTCGTAGAAGGCACTGGGGTATCTGATGGCTCATTAAGGACGTTGCTATCATTACTCATTAAGATAACAGTTGCATCCTGTTCTGGTCCGATATTGTACGACTCTAACGTCCTATAGTGAGAAGCTAACTTCTCCCCGTTGTAAATGAGTTTGAAATCTTCTGGAAGTTGTGATCCACTTGGGCAAGCTACCTGTGCTGAGCTCCTCAAGTCTTCTACCGTTGAATTATCCGGAATGGTCACAGAGTAGGAAACTTCGGTAGACAATCTAATCTTTATCTTCATTGTAGCTATAGTTAAAAATTATTGGATTTTTAGATGATTCAAGTATAGTTAGAGGTAACTAAGTCTTAACTTGCGTTACCTTAAACTTAAATAGTCTCTTATTATATAAAAAGAACAATTCCGAGAGCATTTATTACGTTTGCCACTGATCAAGATAGTAGATCAATTATATACAGTCTTGTGACCCTTGCTTTTTTTTTGGGGTTCTTACTGCGAAAATTAGTCACAGATAGGTGACAATATGAAGGAACAAAGAATAGAGCACAAGAGAAGAAGGTAGAGTATTCTGGACGCAAGTAGTATTAGTAGAATATTACACAAGTCAAAGGTATATTTAGGATATCATAATAGGAGGTTATAGCGATCTCTGCTGTAAAATACAGATAATGTGGATCTAGATATGTTTAATTGAGATGCTTATCTGAAGATTAACCTGGTGGTATGAGACTGATAAAAAAAAACTTCAAACATTCTTAGGGTCCTTGGCTAGTCTTTTCTTTAAAGATTTTCTTAAACGTATGTTCTGGGAGGTTGTATCGTCTACGTTTTCAGAATCGTCAAGTGGGTCTGTATCAGCGTCGGAGTCTTCCTCAGATGAATTGTCGTCGCTATTAGAAGAATCACTCTTGGATGGTGGACTCAAAACATCCAAAATATTGGAAAAGATTGGAACATCGGATAAGTCTTCAATGTTGAACTCCAGTGCATTCGATGTGACAGATTTGACACCGAGAGATTCTTCTGAAGGAGAACGGGAGATACTGTAGTCTTCCAGGGTGTCCAAATGATTGTACTGCTTGTAAAAGCTATCATAATCATCAAACAAATCAGGCCCGTATTTATTGCAAAGATTGGTGACTTTCTTGGCCAAAAACTCTCGATTCTTCTTGAGTTCCTCTATTTGCAAAATATCCTTGTGCAGACTCACGAGGGAGTAGAACAACGGTTTAAGAGATTTATAGTAGTCCACTCCAATTTCACCTATTCTTAAGGAGGCGTATGTCGTCAATACAGACCACAAATAGCAAAGCATGAAAATGAATACCTTAGAAAAACTCTCTGGCAAAATTTTCAGTTTGACAATCAAAACAGTTTCAATAATTGAGTAAGTTATATATAACGCAGGAGCTAAACCGAGAGCCACAATAATTTTCCAACTACCTAACACATCATTAGCTTTGAGCTTGACTTGGGATTTAGCTAAGGCTTCTTTGGCTTTCCTTTTTGAGATACGTTTTGCTGTTATGAATACCGGAGAGAACAATATGATTCCTGGCATACTTAGACCCAAGAAGAAAAAGACTTTGAAAAGTCTCTCGGAAAACATAATGAAGGTTTTAAATCTATTTGACTTCGAAAGCGTCGGGACTTGGTGGTCATGTAATCCCATTCTAATAAGTTTCTTGTTGTAATCCCCGACGAGTTTTTTAATTTCTTTGGCCTCTGGGTTATCGGAGTACTTTTCGTATCCCTTTACTAATCTCCTGTTCATTTCTACCACTAACGGCAAGGGAATAGACTGTCGGTTCGCCGATGTGTATAATCTTCTTGCTGCTTGAACAGCCATTAATGTATCGTAATCACGGCAAGTGACTGTAACTTCCTTTAATCCAAGAATGATAGTCTCCAATAATTTTGATACAGAATCTTTTGAATTTTCTTTGTATTTTTCAGCCAATGCCTTACCAACTACAATTGGCTTGCCAAATTCTATTACAACTCGCGATCTAAACTTATCTGGATGAAAGTAATTCATACCAACAGGAATAATTTGGATTGCAACATTTGGGTCTTTAGATTGAGCAGCAGCACCTAGGGCCATGATTGCGACGCCTGGTTTCAATGGTAACAATTCAGTTCTATCGTGAGAACCGCCTTCGGGAAAGATACCTAACACTTTGCCAGAGTTCAAGTGATTGAACACATGCTGAAATACTTCATTGTTATCAACATGAGGAGCAGTTTTAAACTTGGTTCCGCTATTCAAAATCTTTTTCAATTTAATATCCCTAGCTGTGGGGGACTTTAAGTTTACTTTGAATGGCTTTTTTAATATAATCTTCGAATCAGATTCTACCGATTCTATTTGTGCACTTCCAAATGAAAATCCTATCAAGCCTTTTGGCACACATTCCTTCGTAAAGCATGTACCCTTTCCTTCCACTATCAAAGGCTCGTTTTCTAAATCTTTTACAAACATCTCTCCTGTGGCAGGCTTCAATAAGTCTTGTGCTCTTTCCACTGGTATGACTCCTGTCATCAATGCCATTGTACCGATAAACTTTCGTCTGTAAGAGGTTGCAGCTATCAAAAATGCAATTCTTCTGCCTGACTGCTCCTTTACTTGCGACATCACAACTAAGGGATCAACAAACTGGTTGTGATGCGGAGCTATGACAAATATTACGGGACCCTTTCTTGGAATGTTAAAAGATCCTCTACTCCTGATATCCCTGAAGAATGTATGAATAACAATGTCAAAAAACCATAGAACCAAATCATAGGTACACATAACAAGAATACCCGATAACCATTTCCAATTAATTTTGAATGATTTTTTTGTCTTTCCTTTTGAACTTAAAGGTTCATTCAAATCAAGTTGCACTTGACTGGCCTTACCTTCACCTGTCATCGTTTTGGTGATGCCAATGAATATAATTTTTAAAACTATTCTGTAAATACCCCATTCTCATTATATTTCTACGATCTCCATTTTCACATATGATAGAGCACTAAAGAATGGATGTAATGATCAAAATAGAAATATATATAGATATAGACACAATTACAGACACCTTTGTAGCTATAGAGGTAGATGTGCATCTGAGCTTATCATTATCGATATAAATGCTGTTTATGATAAGCGAATACCATATCGGGAAAGAATTTGAAAGATTAAAAGCCATGCCTAATAAGAATACTGATCTCCCGATGTCTTGTTTGTCTCTTTTAGTGATTTTCAAACCCACTCGTCTTAATTTAAATTATCAATTCTTCGCCGCTTGGGTTGATTCTTAATCTTCACCCGCAGGAACTTCATCTTTCAACACTTTGATTAGTTTCAATCTAATTTCTGTTTTATCATCACCTCTTAAAACGTCCTTCAAGAACATCACATCAACATCAAGCTGAACCATTTGTAACGCGCCTCGTAATACTCCACAAAGAATTTGCGAGTACCAGAGTTCTTTGCCTATCTTAGGATCACTCGCTAAAGGCAACTCCACGAACTCTGCTAATGGATTATCTACCAATATCAATGAAAATGACTTCCCGTCAGCACTCCAGTTATCTACTATAGGTTGAATATTCAAGAATATCTTGAATCCAACTTTAGAAATAACCTCAGCTGTCTCCTTGAATACATTGCATCTCTGAGCTCCAGTTTTTGCTAGAAACTCCTCAATCAATCTCATCCCTATGTTATATCCCATCTGGTCTAGGTGCTTGTTCACTTCCTGGTAGTCATTATTGAAGTCTCTGCAGAGTTGTGATACTACCGAACCATATGTCAACGTGAATATCTCTGAATTCTATTCCTATATTAGTATTCAAATCCTTTGAAAATCGTCACTTCAAATTTCTTTTCAACTTACTATCTTTTCTACGTTATTCTTCCATATCTCATCACCTGAGTACCTCGTTGCTTTAGACATTCTTGTTGTATATAAAAAAGATCAAAGTATTTCAACGTAGATTAGATCAGAAATATCTGTGCGCATGCGACTTTTTCAGGAAGATAAAACAGAAAGATCATTAATCATGAGACAATATACGTAGAGAATGAAACCATAAGTAGGATTGATTGGGCACAGAGGAATACTATCACTTAGAGAAGAATAGAGAGTCTGTGTGTTCACACAGTTACGACCTCGTCGTAAGCCGTATTCGTAGCTACGCGAAATAATACTAATTATCCGATACTAGAATAACCAACTAATCTAGCATTGGCATTGAAGTCCATATTTTAAGTCCGCCATATCTCTAGAGAACTAACTCCGGTTTGCTACCCTGTTGGCTCCATGGGGACAGGCTTTTGCTGATGAAAATCTGCCCCTATTAGAAACGACATCGCTCTTCGCGGACTTCAAATATCGCTATTCGGATACTAACAGCAAACGTAAATAAACTGCTCTTCATTGCAAAGGCAAAACCTAAGCCTCGTAAATTTTACTAATACTATCCGGCTTCGTTAAGCTTCTGAGAGACCACAAGTAAGCCCAAAAATCGTTCTAAACAGCTACTTTATTCATTTTAGCTGGTCAATAAAAGTCGCTTTTCGGTCATTCTTTAATAAAAACGTGACAAAGACGTGAATTAAAAAGAAAAGAGAATACAAATATATACAAATAGAAAGAATAGAAGAAAAAAGAAAACAAAACTAACTCCAAATTATCGACTAATTATTGAAGCAATCTGGCAGAATATAGTAAAGCAGTGTTTAGACTTGGTAGCTACCATGAATACATTTAAGGAGACAATGACTATACCGTCAAATTTTTCAAACGTTGTTTCTGGAGCCTTATACGAGAGTCCCCTTGTAATTACCAAGAGACAAGATTTGATTAGCGGGATTCCTGATGGAATACTTGCTCTTATAGCACCAGTCATGGCATATTGGACATATTCTACCTTTTTCCATATAATCGACGTGTACGAGTTGGCAGAGAAGTATCGGATACATCCTAGCGAAGAGGAACAGGCGAGAAACAAAGTAACTTTGGCAAACGTTGTGCAAGATGTCATTTTGCAGCACATAATTCAGACAATAGTAGGGTATGCTGTATATTGTTTTGACCCCGTTTCTACAACGGGCTATGAATTGTATCAAATGTGGGTCTTAAGACAAAAGTATGTCCCAGCATTCATTCCAGACAGTGTGCTATACTATGGATATATGTATGGATGGCCTATTTTTAAAATAACAGTTTCGATGTGTATCATTGACAGCTGGCAATACTGGCTCCATAGAATTATGCATATGAACAAAACATTATACAGAAGGTTCCATTCAAGACATCATAGACTATATGTGCCATTTGCATACGGTGCCTTGTACAATGACCCTGTCGAAGGATTCTTGTTGGATACTTTAGGTACCGGTATTGCTAGTTTTGTTACTGCGTTGACACCGAGGGAAGCTTTGATTTTATACACGTTCGCGACTTTGAAAACTGTCGATGATCATTGTGGGTATCGTCTACCGTATGACATATTTCAAATTATATTTCCAAACAATTCCCTTTATCATGATATTCATCACCAAGCATGGGGTATCAAACACAATTTTTCGCAACCCTTTTTTACCATCTGGGATAAAATGAGCGATACACAATATAGATTTGTTAATGAATACAAAGCTATGCAAAATCATATCACATTAACTAAGTACAAGGAATTTTTGGCGAATCGGAAATCCCAAGGTAAGAAGGGAGTTCAAGAAAAGAAAAAGGATATCTAGAGCATGGCTGTATTTTTGGAAAAGTCATTTTAAACCTACATCGGAGTTTTGGGATCTATTGGATGATAGAAAACACTAAATCTTCTCATAACTATACAACTGAAAAATAAATTAATACTCTTGTTATTCACTAATGTTTGTACATGTTCACATTAATCTTAATATATATATACATATCCGTCAATGAACTATTAATCATTTTACCGATACAGGTCCGATACCGGTCTCCGCATTTTCATTATATATAGTCTACAGTTCACGTAATATAGGTTATTATAGTAAAAAGGTAAAGACTCATAAACTATAAAAGATGTCAACCTATTCTGACAAAAACTTTAACTCTAAACATTATAATGAGGCAAGACCAACTTATCCTGATGCTTTCTATAAGACTTTGATTGCATATCATGAAGAATCTTCGAATGATGGCAAGAAAGACCTAGCTGTTGACGTGGGGTGCGGATCAGGGTTTGTAACATTCAAATTGCTAGACTATTTCAGCAACGTCATAGGTACCGATCTTTCTCAAACTATGGTTACACAATGCAAACAGGACCCTCGTTCACAAGGCCCTAGCGCTTGCGTCAAGTTCTACGAAGCACCGGCTGAAGCCTTTCCAAGCGAAATAAATGAGGGCTCAATTGACTTGATCACAGGTGCTGAATGTATCCATTGGGTCAATCATGCGAAGTTTTTCAAAGAATCCTCCAAAATGTTGAAGAAAGGCGGCACTTTGGCTTACTGGTTTTATAAGGACCCTATTTTCGTCAATTACCCCAAGGCAAATGAGTTATATGATAAATATACGTACGGCTCATCTCGCGATGCGAGTCAAGGTGACGGGTTCGAAAAGTATATGGGGCCCTATTGGGAGCAGCCTGGAAGGAACTTTCTCAGAACCCTCTTGAAGGATGTTGAGGTACCAAAGGATTTATTCGAGGATGTCGTAAGAGTTGAGTTCGACCCCCATGTTGATGGTAATGATAGCTCTAAAACTAGCTTGTATATCTCCAAGAAAGTCACTCTTTCTGGTATTTTGAGCTACGTTAAAAGTTGGAGCGCTTACCATGCGTGGATGAAGGACAACGGTGACAAGTACAATGTTGCTGAAGCCTTTGTCGAAGAGCTACGTTCTGAAATGGGCTGGGATGACAGCTTCGAATTTGAAATTGTTTTTGCAACCGCTTATACATTTGCTCGGAAGAAATAGACTTATTATAAGGGCCCTGTATTACTATTTCCTCTCGATGGTTTTCGGACTGCATTACAAAATTAAACCTGCAAATACGCCACAAACAAACTAGATCATGGTCCCATTTTAAATTCATAAATAATTGGACGTCTAAAATCAAGCATTAATATTCTTCCATGTCTTTCATTCAAGATAAGGTAGCCATTTATAGCCTTTAAATGTCTATAAAATTCAATTTCTGAAGATTCTTACACCTTTGAGCATTCATTGACAGGAACAAAAAAGGCTTGTGCAACGCTCTTTGAAAATTTCATTTGTAAATTTATAAAATTATTCTCATCTTTGGTAATTGTGGGAGACATCTCTCATTTCTTACGTTTCTAAGTTCACTGTAAGTCATGTTTTACTGACTTACTCACAGATAAAACTGGAAAAAAAAATTTTTGATTTTATATGGAGGTGGAACCATAAACTCTATACAACAATTCTATGTAGCGTACTTATCAGATATTGTTTAATTCCCCTATCAAAAAATCTAGTTCTACTCTCTACTGAAATAAACTTAAAGTTATATAGAAACAGGATTTAGTGATATTCTTCAAAACTTGTAATCAAGCCATCAATCAAAGCAGCTAAACCAATTGCCCCTGGATCTGGTAAGCCTCCCTCGCTTTCAAACTTTTTGAATTCATTTTCAGATACATAAGAAGCCCTCCCAAACTTTGCAGTTAATTTTCTAGTACTTTCCGCTCCATCTATTGCAGCTTTCTTAGCCTTTTTAAGGTCATGCGTCTTTCCAATTTCAGTAATAAATGGTTCTAACGCATCAACTAAAGTCCTATCCCCAGTCCTTGCTTGAGTGTATATAAACAAAGACAGCAAGGCTTCTTCAAGGGATTTTGCAAGATTTCTTCTGCTAACTTCAAAAGGACCTTCTTTGCGATTCATATTCATGTAGCTCTGGGCTAGAGCACTAATAAAAATTGAATATATCCCTCCTGAAGTTCCTCCCATATGTTCTTCAACGATCATGGCAATACAGTTTAAAGCACTAACCATGTCTGAAAGATCTATAGAGTTGTCATCTAATGCTTCTAATATTGCGTGTCCACCTGCTGCTAGTGTTTCACCACAATCACCGTCACCTGCGACAGTATCGTAAAGAGTAATTTGCAGCTCCTTAGATAACAATTTTTCCAAACCTCCACGTAATACTAACTCAAATACTCCAGCATCTAATGTAACAGATGAAGTGATGGGTGAAACTTCTTCTGTATCATTTTCAAATTTATCTTTTGCTGAGTCTCTCTTGAAATTTTCTCCGATAGAAGACACGCTAGAGACCCATCCTGTAGCGTTTGTAGGTGAATCAAGCAATTCAATAATTTCATCACCTCCAGCTCTACTTGCATTGAGTAGAGTAATACTAAATCCTTGGCAATTTAGTGCTGTTGTAAATGCACCAATGTAAACTCGTACAGGAAATATTGAATAGTTCTCAGCAAGTTGCTGGATCACAATGCTTCCAATTACATTTAATTCTAATACTGAAGTTCCTCCTAGGTTATTAACTAACAATACGACTTGTTCATCAGATACAAAAGGTACGTAACTCCTCTCTTTATCACTTTGAGATAATAGATACTCAAGTAACTCCTGAATGAGGTCATCTATATTCGGAATACTGGAATATTTTTTAACTCCTGGCTCATTGTGAATTCCCATACCTATCTCAATTTCATTTGGTTTGAGTATCTCCATTTCATCTTCGTCTCTACCAGGAACAGAACAATGCTCCAAGCTCGCACCAATAGTTACCATATTATCTGCGACATCTTGAGAAATTTTTGCAACCTCAATCAACGAGGCACCCATGGATGCTTTAGCTCCTGAAATCTTATGAACCAATACTGTTCCAGCAAGTCCTCTCCTGCCTACCAATCCATTTTTTGTTCTCCCAACTGCAACATCATCAGCGACGATTACTAACACAACTTTAATACCAAGAGCTTTAGCCCTTTCTGCAGCTAAACCAAAATGCAAAATATCTCCGGTATAATTTTTAACAATTAATAGGTAACCTTTTTCAGATTTGATTGATTTAATCCCAGTAAGTATTTGTTTAGCTGAAGGCGATGCAAATATATTACCTGCAACTGCGACATCTAACAAGCCATCCCCTACGAGTCCAGCATGTGTTGGTTCGTGTCCCGACCCTCCGCCAGATATCACAATTACTTTCTCAGAAGTGGATTTTGAATTAATAATAACCTTTGCACTTTCATTCAAGGTTAATGAACGGTTTGTGGTGCAAAGAGACCTCAAGTACAACAAGACAAGATCTTGATTAGAATAATTCCAATGCTTTAAAAAAAGCATAGTATAAATTTATTCAAAAGATTTTTTTTAAAATTCTAAACTGAGTATATATTTTAATAGTTCTAATTATAAATTTAATATAAATAAATACTTATCGTTTGATAGTATTGGTAGTTTTACCACTGGGGCTAACATCACCTAAACAAGGTGTTTCATGATTCTGGACTATCTTCGCATACCATAGAGCTTCAAGCGCTCAATCTTCCCTTTGTGGAAATAATAGCCGCTTCTCTTTTTATTTTAGCGAACCTAGTTTGAGGTCACGTGTGTATGTTGAATCATACCAGGGTTTTTTACGAGTAAACTATCTATCGCAATTTTTGGTGCACTGATACGTAAATAGCTGAATGACAGATATTGAACATTTGGTAGAGGTATCGCTACAATACATGACGTATATCTACTAGATACTATGAGATGTAATAGTAACTATTTGAAAGTGGCCATATAATAGGCTGGAAAGGCGCTCTATAAAATTCAAGACCACCATTATAATCCAGTTATATCTGATAAAATATTTTATTTGCGAATCGATGAGCTTTAAGGGTATAAGTAACAAGAACTTTATAAGTAAGTAGTTTCTTGAGGTATTTTTTTCATTTGATACACTAAATGGTGTTTATGTCTTATATCTTTGACTAAGTAAACTCTACTGTTAAAATTTATCAAATTCGAATAACCACGATGGCCAATCAGCGTTCAATACCAAGAATTCTGAAGAGTATTTGGTGGCAACATTTCAGCAAATAATATGGCGAAGTTTAAGCCCTGAATGAAGATGTGTGTCGTTATACTATTGTCTCCAATCTCGCCGAATTCAAGTGATTTTTTTTTTCGAATATATAAAACTCCCATTCAGATGCATTTCCTACACTCTAAAGGCAAAATGTCCGTACTAAAAAAGCATAAAGGCATGATACTATTTAACTACTATGTGAAAACTTGCTATAATCTGATTCAATTTGGTTTTCAATTAAATAAGAACTTAATAATATGACAGATGTGCAAACGTCCCTACACTTAAAATATTTGATTTTCTCATCTTGAAAGCTTGTACTTAACCGACTAAGTGTAACATTCGATATTTCTCTTCATCATGAGAACACTAATATTTTCAACTATGAACATCAAACTAACCTGCTATCTTTGAAATTTATTTCTAGGCTGTAACTTTCGGACTAGTTTTAGCTCTCGGTTGATTACTCCCATGATTATCTAATTTTCCGCCTTTTTTTCAGATATATCTTGTATTTACCCAATAGACAAGCCTTTCCTTACAAGATCGTTCACAGTTGACTCTGCATTCCGAGAATATACCGCTACGTAACAAAAAATCATTAAATTGAAATATAACCATCCATGAGCAAGATTTCGAATATTGTATAAGCTACGTATATTGAATCAGATATCTATTTTTGAGAATATGGTTCAATCAGTGGTTTGAGGATTCAGGAAACTTTCGGGACATTACGCCGTTGAAGGGCTATGGAAATTGGGGCTAAGGTCACTAATTTAAAGTTCGTCTAGCATCGATAAGTTGAAGAATAGATTTTCCTCTAGTATTTGTGATAAATTACAAAAGCCTTACTTACGTAAACTTTTGTAATATACTACCTATTATAGGTCTGCAGGTCATCAATAGTCAAGGGTTCACATGGAACGTCTATGTGCAGTATATTAATTTTATCAATTTAGTAATACTTAGTAAACCTTTACATAACGAGCTAGACTTAAATTTTTAAAAGTTTAAAACTCACAATTCGAAAGACTTCCAGGAAGATAGTTGACATATATATATGAATTAATTAGTCAAATATATATGACCCTATTTGTAATTGCAAAAGTCTATATATATGGGAGAAGGATTGTTTAAGCTGAGAATTTTCATTTTTTTGATATCTATAGTTATCACAATCACATTGAGTCAAATTACAAAAACACAGCAAGAAAACAATAAAAACGAAATGGCAGCAAGGAGTATTCTCAAGATGGTTTCTGCCGTAGAAAAGGCAGAAGGAGCTGGTGCAACTGTCCGGAGATCAATAGGTGTCCGCCAAGCTAGAAACTTCAATCCCTTTTTGATGTTCGATCATTTCTCCAGTGGAGGAAGTAATGGGTTCCCAGAGCATCCTCACAGAGGACAGGAAACAATTACCTTGATTTTGAATGGTGCAATGGCTCATGAAGACTTCACTGGCTCTAAGGGTATACTTTACGCTGGTGATCTTCAATTCATGACTGCTGGAAAGGGTGTTGTTCACTCTGAAATGCCTATTCCTAATGAAGATGGCTCACCCACAGTTGGATTGCAGCTTTGGGTTGATCTTCCAAAGAAATTGAAGTATACAGCTCCTCGTTACAGAGACTTGAGAGAATGGGAAATTCCAGAGGTTGTTGAACAAGATGGTAAATTGAAGATCAAAGTCATATCAGGAACAAGTCATGGCGTTGAATCAGTAAGGGACTTGGCTTATACCCCAGTTCATTATTACTATTACAAAATGAAACCAGGTGCTACCTTTAAGCAGGACTTGGATAAGGGATTCAACTACTTCCTTTACAACTTGAAGGGAAATAGTCTAATACTAAATGGAGACACAAAAGTTCCCCAATATACCAATGTATTCTTCAATACTGACGGTGAATACATCACTGGAGAAAACGTCGCTAAACCAACTGACGAAAATGGCGACGTTGAATTCGTTTTAATTGGTGGTCAGCAACTAGACCAAGATGTTATTCAATATGGTCCATTTGTGACATGCACAAGGGAAGAAGTAGAAAAGGCCTACGCTGACTATCTGTTGGCTCAAAACGGTTTTGAAAATATTGCAACTTGGAAAACTTTGATCAGCAATGGTGTGACAAAAGACATGATTGAAGGTCCTTTAGACGGTAATCTTGAAAAGAGAAAGGAGGAGAAAGAAGAATATCTTTTGCATCACAAGAATGAAAAATCATGATTCTTTTAGGTTTAGTTAGTTAAAGTCTATATCAGTATATATGTGTGCTAAATGCAGGATTTGTTTTATTAATTTCAGTATACACGCGTAATCATCACAACTTGGAGACGGCGAGGTAATACAACGTTGTTTAGATCTAAATAATGACAATGGATGCTGATCCAGAAGAAGCTAAATACTTAGTTTCTGAGATATTCAAATCTAATAACCCGGTGACATACCATTCTTTATCGAGATCTTTAAATGTCCATATTAATCATGCTAAGGAACTTCTTTTAGAGTTCTATAACAAGAATAAACAACAGTTAACAGCGTCATTTATTATAACTGGTAATGGAAGTAATTCACAGTTGATCAAACTAGCGAAGGATGAAACTGAATTGCTGGAAAGTGTTAAAGCATTTGATCATATTCACACTGTCCATGTATACAGTGTGAGTGACAAGAGTAATATGTTCACGATTGATGACATAGCACAATTTGAGCTCAAATGGCCCAATAAACGCGAGGAGTATGCCAAGTATTATCAAAATGGGATGATCAAGGGCCCAGAATTGAAAGATCTTGATTTTGAGACAGTAGACGTATCGGAAAAAGAGACATCAAAGAAAGATTCATTGGCACCAGTACAAAAAGACGACAAAATTAAAAGGGAAAAGGAAAACAAAGAGCCTAAAAAGGCGCCCACCAGGTCTAGTACCCTATCTGGTTACGTGTCTCGAAAGGGTGAGTCAAAAACCAGACAAGCAAAGCGCCCTGCAACTGACCCAACCCCGAGGCGTTATGAATATAAATCCAGAAAGGTGGAGGCAAAAGAGCCAAAGGAACGTGTCGTTATTTCAAATGCTGTTGATTCTGGTGCTGTCTCAGATGATGAACCAGCACCTCCGAAAAAATCGAAAAAGTCAGATCTTGAAAATATATTTGATGATGACTTCAGTGATAATGAGCTGAAAGTTGAAACGGAAGAAAAGGAGCACCCAATTTTTGTTGAAGAGGACGCTGAAGAAGACGAAATACCGAAAAATAAGAGCCTACACAATGAACTATCAAACCCTGAACCTAAAGAAGAGCAATCTAAAGAGCTCAAATCTGAAAATGGGGAGGAGCCTTTGCTGCTCCTAAATGAAGGAAAAGCGCACGAACCCGAGACCTATGACGAGCCTGAGCCTACGGTAACAAATGAGGATACTCCGGACGACGAGGGCTATTTCACCACTTACAGAGACGGTGCGAAGAAGGAAGCTAGTCTGTCAAAGCCCAGTCTGAGATCGAAGCTGGTCACTCCATCGCATTCAGGCTCTAAGCATACATCGAAGAGAGCACCAGATAAAAAGAAAACGCAGGCTTCCTTGATGAGTTTCTTTCAAAAACGGTAATTTGTTAATTTTGTCACAAAACAATGTTCTTGAAGCTGATACATATAATTCTTCAGGAAATACAGCATTCACAGCACATGAGTCATTGGGCATTTTATTCTTATCTATCACTTCTATTCTACGATATAATAAATATAGGCGTATAATGTGTATAGAATTCATTGTTCATAAGATATATTGAAGATTAAATGTATTAGTGATTCTCTGTGCAACCGGTGCATACTATTTAAAATTTTTCTGGAACATAGTTAGAAACACAAATTAACAAGACAATTCCATGTCATGTTGCAATTATTTGAAAGGAAAGGCTTTTTTTAGCTGTAAAATGGTTCATTATGAAACGGCTTCTTACTCTTAGCCTTGAAAGATGCTCAAAAAAATGTAACTTAAACTGACTTCTCCGCCACTTCTTTCTGCTCAATGCTCCATTTTTCACATTCAACGTCCCATTCAATATCATCTGACCTTCCTACATTAAGGTTAACGTCCTTGTGGAATCTTTCTGGACCAAGGAAAATGACAACCGCTAAATACGCATAAGCTGCACCGCTGAAAATACCCATGACTCTACCATAGTCGTAGGTCTCTACACCGTTGACTGTTATAGGAAACAAGTCCGCAAGTTGCGATTCAATAGTAGACGAAGCTGAGCTTGCTAGATTTCCCAATTGATAGACTATAGTATGTTAGTATTTTCACTCGTAAAAGCTTATAATTCAAGTACTTACCTAAACCACTAAGAAACACTCTCTGATTATCATTGACCAATTCTAATAAATGTAAGGGTGCCACTCCCCAAGCTCCCATAGTTGCGAACAAAAGAAAAAAGAATCCTGCCGTTAAGGTATTCAAGTCATTAACGAAGAAAGCAGGATAAAGAAATGCACAGCTCCAGATACAACAAATTATTACTGTCAATCTTCTGCCGAGAAACTCAGTCAATTGTCCAAAAAATAATCCCCCTATAATTGCGCCTATATTCACCACAACCATTATGACCGTTTTTCTATCTGGCCCTACATCGTGTTGCTGGACAAGCATTGTTGGATATAAATCCATAACTCCATGAGACATAAAGTTGAAGCCAGACATTAATAAAACCAAATAAATAAACATGAGCCATTCTGTTTTAAAAAGAGCCGACACGCTTGTTTTGAACTGCTTCCACTTGCTAACAGTGCTACCTTCTTGGCGACGCTTCTCTTTCAATTTTAAAAAAGCATTTGTCTCCGGGAAGAAAACACGCCACACGATTAAAATAAGCGGAAGCCCAGAAGAGAACCAGAATAATGCTCTCCAACCTTCAGTGCCCTTGTAGGTATTTTCAAAGGCTCTAAAGAATACAACAGCAAATATGTAACCAAGATTATATCCAGGTAAAAACAAGCCAGAAAGAATTGACCTTGCTTCTTCAGGCTGGTCCTCAAGAGCCGTTGCAGCAGCTATACCATACATACCGCCCATTGCAACACCAAATAAGGCTCTCACGCCTAGGAACTCTTGATAGTTTCTCACGAATCCAGTTGCAATTTCAATCACCAAAAAAAGAAATGCAACAAAGATATAGGGCCACTTTCTACCATAGTAATCAGCAGCGAGTCCAAATATAAAAGCGCCTACTGATCTTAACATGAGCACTAAGGTTACTCCCCAAGTAATATCGGTGATGCTAACACCAAGCGTGGCTGCGATTTCTGAAGCAGAAGCAGAAACACAAAAGAAATCCATGGAATCAATAGTCCAAGCAAAAAACCCTAAACCAAAGTAGTTCCAGTCAGATGCGGTCATGAGCTTGAGTCCGGGTATAGGATTCACTTTATCCCAGACAGATACCTCATACTTTTTCGCAGGAATATCAAAAAGAGTTGATACTCTAGTCTTGAAGTACAGCAAGATAGAACTTAAAGACAAATCCGGAGATCCATCTGCCTTTGTATAACCCATATTTTGTCCTTCTTTGCTAGCTGTTGCCTCAAAATAGTTGTCACGAATTTGTGGGCTTTTATACCACTAACCTTTTTCGCAGCTATTCAGTGGGGCCTTGGTTTGTGTGGGGGATATTTCTCGACGTCATCTCCGCATTCCTCTTCAAACGCGGGTCGCTATCTCCACGAAGAGGCAACATAAGACTTTCTGAAAAACGCCTTAATGAGTTATGAATTTCATCCACGATCCTTCTCTATTCGATTAACTGCTCCAAATGTAAGTGCTATTTAAGAGTCATCCTTACAGAATGAGTATATTGAAGTATACACTAATGAAAAATTCTTGATTTGATTTTTTACATGGCAAACTAAAACACAGCAATTGAGCATCCAATTGAACCTCCAAATGCGCCCCACTTGGGGTCTGCATGTACTAAATGTGTAGCTTAAAGAAAGAATTCACTACCCCACAACAGAAGTGTATATATTTTGATGGTTAAGCAAGTGGGGCGACCTAGCACACACTAAGAGTTAATCGATACAATATCTCAGCGAAAATGGATAAATCAGGGTTTGTGACCCAAAGAAAGCTTAAATATTCATTCTTTGAGCCGAAGAAGGGTGACAAAGTTGTCTATAAAGAAGTCATCGTGTTCTTACATGGATTAGGATCGTCGGAAAACTTTTACTTCGGAATTGCACAACGACTTTCCGAGCATTATCGTTGCTTGCTTATAGACAACGAAGGGGCAGCAAGATCTACTCTTTTGAGGGAGGGTTTGTGTATAAAGGATTTAGCGGAGAATGCTGTTCGTGTTGTGCAAGACTTAGGCTTGGCAAACGAACTTCTTGTCTTTGTGGGGCATTCAATGTCAGGGATGGTAGTAAGCCATCTCGCGGTTAGATGTGATCTTAAAATCCAAAGATGCGTGCTACTTGCCCCTGTACACCCACGAGATGAACTAACAACGATCCTTACCAAGCGCATTGCCTTCATAGAAAAGACAAATCAAATGTTTGATGTCGCAAACATCTTAAGCGAAAGTGCCGTTGGTTCTCGTTGCTCTGGTGTGAAAAAGGCACTCATCAGAGAGCTTCTCATGAACCAATCAGTTATTGGTTATACAGCGCACTGTAGAGCCATTTGTTCGGAGTCACAGCAAAATGAGTATTATATACAGCTTTATAAAGAAAGTAAGGTTCCTACTCTATTAATACTCGGTGAAGAAGATGAAATAACTCCGTGGAAGGGTTGTACCCAAATTATTCATGAAAACTTGCAAGCCAGCAAAGTAATTTCAATCCCTGGCTGTGGCCATTGGACTGCTATTGAGAGCGAGTCTGAGGTATTCAGCTTGATTGAGCTATTTATAAAATAAATGACTTCCATCATTTCCCTAGCTGCTGATTTAAGATCAATTACTTCATCTTATTAGCAAGTCAGCATGCTTATTCAAAGAAGATTTTTTGAAAAAGCCCTGTCTTAGCCGTCTTAGCCTATTCACAAGTTAAAAACGCCACTATTTAAGTAGAATCATAGAAATTACGGTAAATTCACCTTTTAATGAGCTTCGAACACTCATAATAGGTCCTTGTAGGTAAATAAAGATGGTTGTTATCAGCTAGGCTAATTTCCCAATGTAACTTAGTAATGATGGAACATGTACTAGCCGAAAACGATGTTAATTAAGTAATCGAGATTAGCGATATGATCCACAATTTACATCATTTCGCAACAATGTCCATGGGGCACATCGGAAACGCAATGTCGTGTGCCGCGTACGTCCTCCCCTATAAGTAGGGCTATCAAGACGGTAAACATGTGGAAAGAGCCGTTGTAGCCATATTCTCCATCGTGATAATGTTCTTCAGAGTATTTAAGTGCAAAAGCACTGTAATTCCGGCTAGATCTGTATTTACATGGCGTTCCTATAGTCGTCAGTTTTCAGCCCGACCCAGTACTGTGAGTGGAAATAAGACTTGGCTGTTTCTTGGTGGTGTTACTCTACTTGGAAGTGGGATTGGATTAGGATTGTTATATTCCCTGGTAAAATTCGATAATCATAAAATAGGTTCAACTACTCCTCTTGAGACAGTCGAGCCAACTACTTATGCTGACAGTCAACAATTCAAGACTGCTATAAGCCAGATCAGAGATATTGTGGGTGATGACAACGTCAGCCGTAATGAAGATGTAATCAAGGCGCAGGCAGATAGTTTCTTCAGCACTCATCATCCTCCTGATCCAATTTCGCAACGGCCGGGCGTTGTGGTATACCCTACATCTACTGAGCAAGTCTCACAGATATTGAAAGTCGCCAATAAATACAAAGTGCCAGTTGTTGCATCATCTGGATTGACTTCATTGGAGGGACAATTGATGCATGTCAGAGGGCCAAACAGCGTCTCTTTGTCGTTCGAAAAGATGGATAAGATCTTAGCTGTACATCCTGATGATCTTGATGTCGTCGTGCAGCCCGGTGTTGGATGGGAAGAGTTGGATGAGTTCTTACGTAGCAAAGAGGAAACGAAGCATCTAATGTTTGGGCCAGATCCCGGTATGGGAGCTAAAATTGGTGGGATGGTCGGCACAAGCTGCTCAGGAACGAATGCCTACAAATATGGAACCATGAAAGAAAATGTCTTGAATTTAACTGTAGTTTTGGCAGATGGAACAATTTTGAAGACTAGACAAAGGCCTAAAAAGTCTAGTGCTGGGTATGATTTAACGAGACTTTTCATTGGATCTGAAGGAACTTTGGGAATTATAACAGAGGCTACTATAAAACTTCACGTGCGTCCAAAGGTAGAGCTTGTAAGTATCCTCAGCTTCCCTAATATTGAGCTGGCTGCATCTACTGCAGGAAGCATTAGTAAGACCGGGATCCAGCTTAATGCAATTGAGCTTTTAAATGAAACCATGGTTCACTTTGTAAATAAATATGGTGGAGTTGTTGATCAGAATGACAGACCAAAAACATTTAGTGAAAAACCTACTCTTTTACTCAAAATCGGGGGGCCAAGTAAACAATCTGTTGACGAGCAAATTAAATTGATATCTCAGATTAGTAAAGAGAATGGGCTGTTGAGTTTTGAGTCTTCTAAAGATGAAAATGGAAATGCCATTTTATGGTCAGCACGAAGAGCTGGTCTTTGGTCAACTATTCAATACGGTTCCGAGATATTGGATGATCCAAATGATGTTCAAGTTTGGTCGACTGACATTGTGGTACCTGTTTCTCATCTTTCTCGTCTAATCAAAGAAACAAATGATGATTTAAATAGTCTGGGCTTCAAAGGTAAATTTTCTGTAGCGGGACATGTTGGAGATGGTAATTGTCATTTTATGATCCTTTACAATAGTAAAGATTATCGCAAAGTTGAATCTGTTGTTGATAGAATGGTATACCGGTCTTTGGAGCACGAAGGCTCCTGTACTGGAGAACACGGTGTTGGAGTGGGTAAAAGGAAATATTTGAATGACGAGCTAGGCGTCTCAGCTGTTGATTTAATGAGACATATTAAACTTCTGTTAGATCCAAAAAGAATACTAAATCCGGACAAGGTCTTGAAGCTTGACACGACTGACAATTTAGATGAACAACTTGAACACGTCAGTTTAATAGAAAGCAGCAATAAACATTGCTGCTGAGAGTAATTTTAATAGAGAGAATTAGTGATAGAAAAAAAATAATAATTTTATAATTAAAAAGTTTTTGAGATTCTAACTTACCTTATGTGCGTACTCTTCTCTATTCAGTTGTCGTTCTGATGACCACTTAGACGTGTATTAAGAAGTGTAATGATTTTGTTCCCTTGGCATAATGAAACAATTTCGAAAAAAGAAGCAAGAGATCAAAGTCTGCAGATACAACGAAGAGTCCACTAAGAGGTATTCGGTTCTATAAGAGTTATAAGATGCAGTCATACTGAGTTGTCTGCAAACTTCACTTACTTCCTCTACTTATTTGCTTAACTGAATTTCTTTCTATATTAGTAAGTTGCAAAAATCTATTAACATCATGTTTTCTTGGTTATTTTTGTCTTTTTCTTCTTTCAGCTGAATATCGGAATGCCCAGACAATTCTTTAAGTCCATTTCGTATATATTGGGCTTTTGGTGTTTCCTTCTATTGACGCTACATGGTCCTCGAAGTTTAGTGCCAATTTGGAACATTTCCTATTTAGGAAAGAATATTTGGAACTTCGAATTTCCGTCGTACGACAACGGATGAGGAAGCACTAATCTGGTAAAGGGTATGGTGATGTTACAAATAAATATTCCTTTTGAAGTAATTATCATGGGGAACTGGATTATTTACTCTTTGTAATGAAGGATGTATGTTTAAAAGAGAATGTTAATTTCCTAATTCATAAAGAAGTCTATGAGCCTACACATATATAGGTGGGATAGCTCCTTGTATGAATTGAGTTCAGAAAGATTTCTTTGAATTTCCTGAAAGCTTTGTCCATATGAGATTATCAAGTACTTCACTCGTTGCTGTTGCAGTTTGTTTAGCTGCCTCCAATGCTGCTCCCACGTCAGCAGGATCTGACAGTACTCTAATTAAAAGAGCTGAGAACAATGATATTCAAGAAGCTATCAATACCTTGCAAGAATACAAGGCTAAACGAGATGCAATGGATGTCGAAGTTGCTGAAAGAGACTATGCTATTGTTACTAAAGTTTTGGCTCTTTTGAAGGATTCAAACACAGCACCTCTCGTTATCAACTACTTGGCTACTAATAAAACATTTGAGCCTATCACAGTCAGTGTCATCACCAAAGTCTTGAAGTCTGGTAAAATAAACTTGGAAACATTGTTTAAGGCCTTGGAAGAATCAAACTTAGTCGGCAATGTAATCAAAGACCTTATTTCTGACTGTAGTCTTTATGTTTCTTTGTTTAACACCGCAAAGGGAGTTATCTCAGACTTAGTTGACAAAGTTAGGGAAAAGATTAAGGATGCTGTTAGCAAGAAACGTGATTTCATGGATCCGATTGAAACTGTGAATGTGCAAGAGAGAGGTTTGGATCTCGCTACGAGGGACGCCAATGATGTTGTTGTACAACTTTTAGAATCTTTATACGATTCTGGATTAGCTACTCAAGTCGTTGAATCAATCATCACCGATAAGTCTTATATCCCATTCGCAATCGACTTGACAAAGTCAGTCTTGGAAAGTAACGCATTGAGCTTGACTGAGGTTATTTCCGCTTTGAAAAGCTCGAACTTAGTGAACTCTTTGTTGAAGCAAATTTTAACTGTCGATACTTTCCAGACAGTTGTAACTAATGCCTTCGCCGCATATGCTGGTAAGTGTCTGGAGGAGACAAGTGGCTCTGGCTCTAGTTCAACTTCAACCTCGACTTCAGGTTCTGGTTCTGGTTCTGGTTCTGGTTCTAGTTCTGGTTCTACTACCACAAACCCATGTAAGAAGAGAAAGAAGAGAAGATCTTACAACTATTGAGTGATAAAGACCCTACTTAACATATATACCATTCCTAATAATACTCAACTGGCTGCAATGCAATTTTGTAACTATCTAAGATAGCATGAAAAAATACACTAGATAATGTTTAATATTTTTTTACATAGTAATCTACGATTAAGGATTCCAAAGCCACCCAAATGATCTCGGTATGAACCTCTAAGGGTAATTGGATTTTCTTCGTCAATTCTACCTAAAAATGTTGTTGTTTAATTCTGTTCGTTTTAGGAAATATCAAAACAAATATCATTTATTAAATGACATTCTTGGGAAAGTTATGAAAAGCACCATGCAAGCGGCCCTTCGGGACAGGAGCTGAGATGTAAGCGAACTAGGTGAATTTGGAAGAGACACATGCATTTTTTTGTTTACCTCTTGAAGAAATCGTTCGAGTAATAATCATAAGATCTCAAGTCTTATAAACTTTCTAGGCTCTCTTCTAACTGCCTGCTTTTTTGGTTTGGTATAAGATAGTATGAAGTCGGTAGCCCTTGGCAAAGGGTCTAGACTTGTGCATCAAGGAAGTCAAGATGAAGGGCAGGCTCCTTCATCAAATCAGAAGAATGACGATCCTGTCCAAACCACTACGGAAAACCAAGGTATAGTTGAAATGAGCTCTCCAAGCTCAAAGTCTGTTAGCAGTCCCAACAAGATAAATACATTACGATTCATGTTTCGAAAGAATGATTCTACTGTCTCAAGTGATAGCATGAGTGATAATCTTAAGAAAAAGAATCCCTCGCTCACTAGTCTTCCATTCTCTACTAACTCAGGTGGAAGCGAAACGTCTCCTTCAAGAAAGCATAAGTCAATTTCAGGTAATCTAGCTAACGTACTAGGTGCCAACTTTGCATGGTCAAAATCGTCCTTATCAAGTGCTCAAAAATCCACTGATAACATAAATGCTATCAGCACCTCAACACTGCAATCGAAAAGGGTAGGGATAGAAGCATTTGCTGATACCTCATCGGAAAACGAGGTATCGAAGTCTTCGAATTCAGAAGAATATGACGAAGAATCTATAAGTTCAATTCTTGAAGAATATGGCATCAGATCTTCGGTGAATGTAGGTTCGCAGAGGGCCGACTTCATATTCCTTGAAAATTTCGATGATTCCTCAAGTACGGCTAACCCTGATAGATCTCAAACTACTGAAAGGACATCTAATAGATTTTCAAGATCGTCTTCTCTTAGGTCAAAGCCACCTCTTGAGCGTAATATTAACGTTGGCAGAAGTGCTATTAGGGCTTCAAGTTCATCATCTAATAGTGAGTACTTTGATTCCAGGAGTGAACTGAATTTAAGAACTTCTGATAAGCAAGAAGAGAAAGAGAGAAAGCATAGTCCTTCAATTCCAACGCAAGAATCATCTAATTTACAAAACCGAAGTCATTCTAATCCATTTAGAGAGCTTGGTACTAAGGGGACTGTTCCTGGAGTCATCGGGAACCCTTTAAACGTCGGTATGCAAAGTGATAGTCCTAAAGAAGAAAGATATCCTGAACCTGATTTGGTTGATATAAATACACCTCTTCCTGATGTCAATTCTGGAGTAACAAATAAAGACCTGTTGGATGCAACTAGTAATCTGATTTCCCAACCAGAGCAGAAGCCAAATACTTTCAAGACATCAATTAGGTGGTCACAAATTATTCCTGAAGAAACTATCAAAAATAAACGTATTTCAGACAGATCTTCACTATCATCAGGGGAACTATTGAGTAGACTAGAACAGTATGACGAATCATCTAAACGGCAGTCAGAGGTAAGCGCTTCTGATTCATTTAAACATGCGACTATCAATCTTACGGCTGGACTCGACTCAAACACTGAATTGCCGATTATGTTGTATAAGGTTCAGGAAAAGGGGTATGATGAAAGTAACAAGAGATGGTCTGTTTATGAGAGTAACAGAGGCTCCGATTTGCGAAACGATACACTGCAGATTGGGTCAAGATCTCTTTTGCCCATGCGAACAGCCAGTGGAACCAACTCATCCGACTCTTCTAGTGCTACTAATTCAAGATCCAAAACGGGCCCTTCGAATAAAGTGGATACCGGAAAGGAAGTCACTACTCAAAGAAGCTCATCGCCCCCAAATTACAAGCATCCCTCTCCTTCAATCCCTATGCCCATTCCTTCTAATATGTTGCTGGATACGTTAGCGAAACGCACTTCTCATGAACGTATGTTTGACACTGATAACACTAATAATAATTACAATGATACCACCATCATCTCCGATGGAGCAAACAATCTTCTGATATCTCAAGACGATTTGAATTCCTCCCATTCATATGAACTACAATATAACTACGACCAGGAAAAATGGATACAAGCTACTTCACTAAAAGTAATCTATTCCAACGTTAATTTTGCATTGATGATGCTCTTGGGACTCTTAGTGCCTCCAATATACTTTTTGGTTCCTGTTGGCGCGTTCGACAGCACCAACGCAGGGCGTCACCATCACTTTCCGCTGTCTCAGCTGGGAAATCAAGGTCATCTTATCCCTGTGGGCCTGAAACGATACTCTAAGAATCAAAAACTATTAAGCTTTGCATTAGGAATAATATGGCTTACTATTATTTTAGCCATGATAGGTGTGGGTATAGGCGTTGGAGTCACTAGAGAATCAAGATAATATATAGATCTAGATATCAAATACCCATAACCTACATACAGGATTGTGTAATTTCGACTAAAATTATAATGTGACCGATAAAGCTGGAATCTGGATTATATACACTACGATGATTCGTGAGCAACTTGAAAGGTCTTTTATGACTACTATTGCTCCTGATCACTCTGAATGTTATAACAGAGATCACTATTCGTTTAAGCCTTGGCACACATATTCAGCAAGTGAAGACTGGTGTAATAATTGTTCTGGTTCAGGCATTAATCTGAATTGTTACGTAGGTATAGCCTGGGGTAAAGAATTCTAATATTACACAATATGTCTAATATAACTTCCCGGCTGTAGTATTATTAATTGATGTCAGTAAATCAATTATAATATTTTCCTTCTCAAGCTCTATTAAGCTTGACATATCTATCGTATATTAATTTACCGCCTTTAGTTGCCCTCATTATTTTATTATAATACTTATCTTGTACTTCCTCTATATTCTCTGAATTTAAGTTATGATTGACAAATGATAATTTTAAAATAATTTCATCATCTTGATCTTCAACAAAATTGTTTATATATTCACTAAACTCAAAATTAAAAGACATACCACACTCCTTTGAAATATAAATACCTATTTTTGTTAAATTAGGATCAAATTCACCGGAATTATTAGATATGTAAAATCGTCCTTCATAATTAATTAAGAGATCAACGTTTCTAAAAGTATTAGCATAATGTTGTAATAATTTAACTAAAGTAAATAAGGCTTGGTTAGTTTTATATATATCTTCTGAATTCTCGTTCATTGTAGATATATATCATCGAGATAAACTAATACGTTTGGACAATCCTCTTGGCTCCCCGTCGCGAAATTAACAAGCGATACACAGAGAGAAGTAAGAGTTAAACATCCTAAAAACCTTCACGAAGCTATGCAAATCGCAGAGATCTATAGCGAAGAGAGAGAAGGTATAACAAGGAACAGGCACCAAACCACGTTACTTAAGAACTGGTTATGTCCCGAGAAAGGAATACTTTCAAAAAGAAAGTTCAGCAGTTCCTATGGAAGTTGATACCATAAATATAAGAAAGTCAAACAGAATGGTCACAATTGGTAGCGTGGCTTAAGATCAAAGAATCGGAAATATTTTAAAATGGATTCAGACAGTGTTTACCAACTCATCGAAGAGATGAAAAATGAGAGGGCTCAAAGAGAAAAAGAGCGTAAAGAATTAACAAAAATCAGCGAAAAGGAAAGAATGAATCAAGATCAAAGAAGTCTCATGAATTACATCCTTTCAATTCAAATAGAGCCATAGAAAGGCGATTTAGATCCTCAAGTTATCGATACATTTATAAAAAAAATTATCAATAAGGTTGAAGGTACAGAAC